AACTGGAGCTGTCAACCCTCATCCACAGCTGCAGATCCAAGGAGAAGCTGCCCTCTCTGCTATCTGTGCATCGGCCCCAATCAATCAAAAAGAGAAAAGACAAGGAGTGGGGTAAAGGGAGGGAGAGGAAATCCCAGGCAGGAGCAGCAAAGCTCTGACACCTCACATCACACCCTGGGAGTTGTCGTTCTCAGCCAGCCTTATGACAACCATAGCAAAGGGACTTAGGACTATAGCTCCCATTCTGGGAGTCCCAAGAGGCCACAGGGCAAGCAGGGTAAGTAATCAGCCAGGGGATGCAGCTCTGGAACTCAAGGGGAAGGGGGGGGATGCTGAATGCATCTCCAGCAGAGAAGCTGGAGGTTATTCTTGCAGTTAAGTGCTGGCTTGCAGCAAGCCCCTGGCTCCAGCGCTCTACACCAACCTCTGGGGATTTTTATGACATTGGGAGAAGGGAGAAATGCTGCAGACGGCGGGGCTGAGCAGAGGAGGAAGCATTTATTTGCTTTCAAAATCAGGGAGGGGGATAAATCCACCCCCTGCCCCTCTGCAAGCTCCTCTGCAGCGCCTACAAAAAGGAAATAGGTGAGCTGGCCCCAACTTTAGCCTTAATAAGTGTGTGTGCACAGCCTGATCCAATGCCTATTTACTCAGGAGTAAGGGAAAGAGAGGGACGTGCTACCACACCCAGTCAGTGGCTTCTTGGATGGGCACCTAAGAAAGGAGGGAAGGTTTGTTTTGTTTTTCCCTCCCTTCCTTATCCTCAGCCCTCCCCTCCTGTGAGCCCGAGTACTGTGTGGAGCTTCAGCTACTGCAGCTGCTTCTCCAAACAGGGATAACAGCCCTGGCCTGGACAGGCCAGTTCCGTCGCCCTGCGCTGAGGCAAAAGGCTGTGTGCTGAGGGCTAAAAACAGACGCGCTAGCACACCCTAGCGCAGCTTAGAGGTAACTGTGCTGCCTTGTGTAAATTTCAACCACTTGAAGACTGCTGCTTCTACAGCACAAAAATGAGTTAGGACTGTGAAGGTAAGATGTAGAGAAGACCCACAGAGGATGTAGAGAAGACCCACAGAGGAATGTAAGAAAGCCACCTAATCAATACCAATGGCTTTAGATCATCCACTATTTCTGCTTGACAACTGCTACTAATGCTTGTATTGCTAGGCCCAAACGTGCAGATTTAGCCAGAATGTGACTGAAACAGAGCCTGAGACTGTCAGATTCTTAGACAGGAGACATTGGGACACACAGTGGAGCAGTAGAGATGTAAAGTTTCTGTAAATTGAAGCCGGGGGGGAGGAGGCCCCACTGAAACACTGGGATAAACTGGAAAATCCTAAACTTATTTTACTGATTTAACAACATAATATTCATAATTTGTAACTTCGTTAGCATATAAAATTATACTAATTGGCATATTTACGGGATTTAGAAGTATAAATCTTAAAAAGTATAAAAATATTACGCACAAGTGCATAACAAAACAGAAGTCTAGGTGCACGTTAACAAAATTTATTGTAGTAAAAGCTTTTGTGAGTCTTCAGATACATCTGTTTTATTTTGCTGCAACATTTTACATGGCTGCCCCTCTGGAATGATTTTTCATGAAGATGTGATAATTTTTTTTTTATTTTTTTTTTGCTAATTTGTCTATCCTCCAAAAGGACTGCAGCAGCTTTAGCCTGCTGGGAGACAGAGGAAATAGGACTTTAAAAAAACAAAAAAGCAATGTCCTGGAACTCAGTATTTTTCCCTTAAACACTTCTGTGCGAAGATACGGGGAGTTTCCAGTTCAAAGAAGGAGAAACGTTTCTCAGACACCACTGGTACTAAGGGAGTAAATTAAGGTTAAGCAATATTCCCTCACATAATCAGGTCCTATCCCAGAGGGTCAAAGATTAAAAATCAATGCTCTTGCTACTATTGGCAGGAATATTTACAGGAGGGATTTAAAATCATAATTATACATGCACACCACCACAGCAAGTACGGGCTGTGTAATGATCTGTTAATAAAACAGTGTTTTGTCTATAATCAGAACAGCTGTAGCATTAATAGCAGAGTGCTGTTAATTAAAAGAGGCCCTGTAACATCATGATATATACTTTTCACACATTATATTCCCATCCGTAAAATGCATGTCACAAATCAGAGAAATACTTCTGATTACCCAAAAAGGGCATTTTTATTACCAAGACTTATAAAAAATACTTTCTGGATTTGCTGTTCAGCAAGCTCCAGTCCCTCACAGGTGGCGAGCACCAAGACCAGCATAGGTCTGGTACCCTACTCTATGGGCTGCAACAGTTAATTTTACTTAGCTGCAAAGTGCAAATGGAGGTGTGGGGGGAGAAGCATATGAAATGAGGACAACACTCTTTACATCTTGGTTTTGCTCATTTATGAGATTATGCTCCATTAGGGATAGTGACATCGTATGGAAGGCCCTGCCCTGCCCTGTATAGCCCAGGCTAGCCCCATGTTGTCAGATGTTGGAAGCTAAGCAGGGTTGGCTTTGGCCAGTATTTGGATAGGAGATCACCAGGAAATACCAGGGTTGCTATGCTGAGGCAGGCAATGGCAAACCACCTCTGAACATCTCTTGCCTTGAAAACCCCACCAAGGGTCACCATAAACCATCTGCAACTTGATGGCAAAAAAAAGGGAAGGCCCTACAGTGGGCATGACCCTAAGGCAAATCAGTTTCCCTGATGCCAAGATATGAAATAGAAACACAGAAGGAGCACTGCTGAGATAAAGGGGCTTGCTAAGAAGACACTTTAGCAGGTGGAAGTAGGAGGCCTAGCTTATTATTACTACTTCTTTGGCCAGTGGGGGAAAAACCTAATAGCTAACCCACAGTCTTAAACCCTTAAATAAAACTGGAACAAACTACCAGTTTTTACAGGATCACCACTAACCCACTCCCCTTACTAGAACAAAAACGAAGTTGCTGCACATTGTTCCACCTGCACCCATTGTGTCACTACAAGCTTTAGTGCATTTCCAGAGGAGGATTTCTAGAAACATGCATGGACACAGATAGTCACTGTGCTATTGTATGCATATTCTAATGCTACAAGTAGGAAAGAGCAAGATTGATCTGAAAGATGCACATTTCCTTTTTTTCATTTATGAAGGACAGGCCTATGAGCACAAATCTCACCGAGGACAATCATTATGGAGAGAAAAATTTCTGTAATTATTCTGTGGGTATTTATTATTGTCATGGCTCCTTAAATTGCTATCATCTTTACAAACAGAGGTGGTGATGATAGAGAAGGATGTGGGAAATATGTCAAATATATGGTCCCTCACCGTAGAAGAATCATGTGAAATTCTTCAGTGAAAAAAGAAACGGGCACGATCAAATGGGAAGGCCTCCTTCAGCAAGCCACAATGAAACAACTGGTGACATATAAGAGCCTTAACAGTGGATTAGTGTTTTTCTTGTGGTTGAAAGCTTAATTTCACCACTCAGGAGGTGTATATCTTCTACCAAATAATTCTGCAATTTTCCAGTTGACTCACAGAGGCATTTCATATAGGGTTGCCAAGTGACTTACCAGCTGCAGCGGGGGAGCGGTGATCCCATTCCGGGATATTTGTGCACATGCATAGCGCGTGCGAGCCACAACTACATCAACTGGAAGTGACGTCATCACACTGGGCACATTGCCGGGCAACGGTCTAGCAATCACCCTGAAAACTCTATGGTATGCACTTCTGGGCGACATCATCACACCGAGCATGTCGGCCCAATCTGGCCACTTTGGGGGTGGGGTTCCCCCCGCTGGCTGGATCTGGACCGACGGATTAGGGGCCCTTTTAGCGGGGGAACCTCCACCCTCCCGGGGGACCTGGCAGCCCTAATTTCATATGACCATAAACTCATCCTGTTGCACTATCAAACTGATTTCTCATGTTGGTTTCCCAGAATCTACCATGGCTGAAAATAAGCTTTTGTAATATGGAAATAATGTTTGCGTTTCCTAATAAAATTGAAGAAGAAAAAAAGGGGGGGGGATAACAATGACAAATAATATAAAAATAAGAGCTGTTGTAAAAAACCATGTACCGTCAAGGCAAGGTTAGTGCAAGATAATGATGATTCATGGACTAAAAATTTCCATTTACAGATCAGTCTGGAACAAAAGAGCTATTTACAATTCCCATTCTTCTGCACCTTGTTTTGGACACCCAAAGATGAAACAACTGCGCAAGATCACTTACTAATTGGCTCCATGGCCAGCAGCCAAGTCAGGGAGTACAGAAACCGAGAAACAATGCAATTCAGTCATTCAATTATCATGTGAAAAGAAAACAGTCCAAATGGCTTAAACAGGAGGAAACTGGGAGATATAATGCAGCAACAAAGTATATTTAAGCACGTTGATCGAATGCTTAGCTAGACCTCATACATTGCGAGCACAGTAGTAATTATTTGTATATAAATATTCTTGTGATCCAATGGTCCATATGGCTGCATTCCTTGTGAAAGCATTTCATGGAATGACAAACACAGGACCCGAACTCAAGACATGACTTTTCACTCAGTGAAAGCCATAACTCCAGCCTTGTCTGATGCCTTTTACAAGGAGTAGCAACTGCTTTGGGGTAGGCAGCCTGCAAGATCCACTGCTCAAACTATCCTGCGACAAAATACATATACACAGATGGATTGGATATGTTTGTTTGTTGGAAAATATTTTATACTAATGTTTGTAAAGATGAGAGGCTGTTTCTTTCATGCACTAAGCATGGCCAGAGTACTGGTTTTATTGAAAAGAAAAGCAATTTTTAAATATATATTCACCAGTTTGCAATAACTGTTGCAATTCTTTACCGGAGTTGTCAAGCTCTCACCACCTTGGCTACCACAGTGGCCATTACCACACGAAGTGAGTGGAAACTATGTAGGGAGCTGCATGGAAATGGCTGGAAGATGCAGAGAAGCAGCGCTTGTTTTAGAGCAGCCAGCGAGTGTCCTGTGTCCTTACCTTACTGCAGCAGCCATGCTTCCGATAGGGTTTATTGGCAGTGGTCTAACTCCGGGGAAGATTCCTCGACTCAGAATGCGAGCTCCATTTTGTATCACCCCGGGAGGAACTAAAAAGCAAAATACAAGGAAAAAAGAAAAATTAGAAGAGCATGAACTGAGCTGCTGATTAAGCATCAAGCTTCATGTGATTCCAGTCTCCTCAGAGCAGCCAGAGAAGGGTTAAGAGTCCATTGAACATTTAAAGTGCAAAGGAAAATTTGTATGCTGCCTTCCAAACCTACTCTAGGCAGCTCACAAATAAACTAATCAAAACAATTTAAAAAACCAAATTGTATCAATAAGAATGAAAAAAAAATCAATATGACTAAAAGCAGCTAATAAAAACAAGCCCGAGTATAAAAGTGCTTAAAACAGAGCAGTCCGAATTGACTTTGATAAAACAGTCTGCAGGATAGGAACTGATCGCGAGGCAGCTACAAAAGATGGAATCCCTTTGTTAAAAGCCTGGGCAACTAGAAATGTATTGGTTCAGTGCCTAACAGAGTTGAGCTAAGACAAAAGCGTGAGCCAATATAGAGAACTTTAACTGCGTAACCAGATCCTTTAAAAAACAATAACTTAACAGCTAGATAATATATCTTTTAAAGTAGGGACACTGGATTTGGTAGCAAGATCTGCATCATTGCCTGCTCTCACATAATGCTTGCGTGCATTTAAGTGTACGGCTCAAAGATCTGATAGGTGGCTCTTCTCCCAGGACTGAAGCACGTGGCCTTTAAAACTTGAACTCAAAGATGGAAAAAACCTAGCTTGTGATAAGGAGTTAAGACTGTTACAATGCTACTCAAACTCCATCAAATTAAGACAGTTGCTTCATCTTCTGTGCCATATATATTAAGAAATATACTCAGATTCTATTTTGCTCACCACCAGTGTTCCCTCTAAGCTGAGTTAGGGTGAGCTAGCTCACAGTTTTTTAGCCTCCAGCTTGCATATTTTTGTCTACTGCTCACTCACAACTTTAATGCACATAGCTCACAAAGTAGAATTTTCGCTCACAAGACTCTACAGCTTAGAGGTAGCATAGCTCACCACTTAGGCTCCCATATACCCAACACTTCAAACTTCGCCCCCAAAGAATTACAGTCCCAGGCTGCACATTTCATTTGCATTCCACATGAACAGGACATCGGCTCCTATACCATATAGGGTGGTTTTCAAACGGAAACCAGATATTCATCAGATAAACAAAAGGCATACCTCGGAAGAGGTACATGAAAAACATCTACACCTCCAGACAAGAATGTATGAATGATATTTCCCCATTGCATAAATTGATGAGAAACTTCAGAAGTATGCCACGTGCCTTCAGTATTTAAACTGCCTTCGACATGTGAAGCATTCTCTGTTAACGCAACGACAAAAAATGTATTCCTTACAAAAACAGAGATAACTATAAACATCTACACCAAATTTGCAAAATTATCTCAATTTTTCTACAGAATAGATTTTGTTGTTGTTGTCTTAACAGGGACTGCCTCACGTCTTCAGTTACTCTCCCATGCTTACCTGATTATAGACTAGGAGCACAGAAGCATATCACATTCTGTGAGTCACAACCCAGTAGTAAGGCTATCCAATACTTTGGTGGCCCAAGCAGTGATTCAAGGGAAGTACTTTATACCCCTACCTAATTGCACAGCCAAGCAAGAGGCAAACCTCCCAAGGTAGGTAAGGTCAATTGCCAGGGGAGCTGTCAACCCATTTATCATCTGCCCCCTGACAATGTTTACTGTAGGAAAGGTATTTTTCTTTACAATATCAGTCATTAAACAGGAGCTAAACAACTAGGTCCATCTTAGAATGAGAGCTTTAATTCTTTTAATTATGTCATATTTAGAAAAAGCCAGAAAAGTTTCTTTTTGTTCTTGCTCTGTTTAGCATCTCATATCGATTCCCCCCCCCCCCTATTACTTGTCTGGTGAGTGGGGGAAGGAACAACAGGTAGGATGGAGGGTGCTTAACCATCTGTCTGGCTTGCCACTTTGCCCTACAGTGCCTCATCCCCTCTCCCCTTGGCAAACCTGGGTCTGGAATCAAAGTTGGGGAAAGGGAATGGCATGGGGAAGCATCAAGCAATTAAAGGGCTAAGAGTCTTTAGTGGTCCTCAAACCAGTCCTCCATGGCAAAACATTCCCTCATGTTCCACTTTGCAGGTGTGTAACAGTAATCCATGTTCCCAGACACAGGTCTACAGCTGAACACCTAACTCTGATCTTACGGTAAAAAGAGATGAGAGTAAAGCCATTCCACAGGTTTAAACCTCAAATGTTTAGAAAGAGAAGTGGTGGGTACAACTGATGTTGAAAATAAAAATGGGGCAAGGCGGAGGAACGCAAAGCCTGCTATCTGTCTGTGGTTCATCTCACAGAGGTTTCTCTCTCCAAGTTTACTTTAAACAACTCAGCTGGGAGAACAGTGCTTGGCTGGAAAAGGCAACATAGAGGTAAGAGGTGAACACAGTTAGAATTCAGCATTACGCACTTAACAGTCTTCCTTTGCTGGCAGAACTATAGCCAATGCCCCCACTTCCATGCCTATAAACATGCCTCCAAATCATACAGAAACTGCCAATCCCTTAATCTACAGCAACCAAACTGTCCTAGCACATTAAAAGACCCTAGTTTTATTTCTGCATTAGCTTTTATAGGCTTATTTTTCAAGTACTTGTGTACAGTTTTCCATCTAAACTGAATTGGCTTGACTGCACTTAACGAAGGACCTAAAGTTGTAGCAGGAGCTCTTCTTACCCTATGCTACTAAATCTGCTTCACAATGCCCTAACTAAAAGACCCTATTAAGAAAATGACTGTTTCTGCTCTGGCTATACCGTTTTCTTTACTTAAAAAAAAAAAATTAAATGACCGTTCTCTCCAATTATGTTGAGGAAGCTCTTTATCAAAACTATGTACCCAAGTATTAGAGTGCCACCCAATTCAACGGCCTGCTTTTAAGAACATAAGAGACGCCAGTGTTGGATCAGGCCAAAGGCCAATCCAGTCCAACACTCTGTCACACAGTGGCCAGAAATACCAGGTGCCATCAGGAGGTCCACCAGTGGGGCCAGGACATTAGAAGCCCTCCCACTGTTGACCCCCCCCCAGCACCAAGAAGACAGAGCATCACTTGCCCCAGAATCCCTATCTATACCATCTATTTTGGAGAAGGTGGATGCTGAACTCTCTGCCGGTCTTATACAACAACTGCCAAGTTTGCAAAACCAATTCTGTGAAACCATATGTGTGCTTTGCATGTGCATGGCGAATTGAATGCACACACGAACACATGAAGCTACCTTACACTGAATCAGACCCCTTGGTCCATCAAGGTCACTATTGTCTACTCAGACTGGCAGCAGCTCTCCAGGATCTCAGGCAGAGGTCTTTCACATCTCCTGCTGCCTGTTCTTTTCCACTGGAAATGCCAGGGATTGAACCTGAGACCTTCTCCATGCCAAGCAGATGCTCTGCTGCTTAGCCACAGCCCTTCTTATTGATTTTGAGGCCAGAGTGAGTTTCCAAAGCAGTTGTGACAAGCCTGGACATCTGCTTTTCAACTAAGCTAAAATAACTCACAACTAAACTAAAGTAGCTCAAACAAGCCTCTGAGTGTGTTTGGAGTAGCTCTTTAGATTCCAGCATGAAAATGTGGTGTTCGTTTGGGTACTGTCCTAGGAGTGGTGGCACAGAACCACTGTTCGCAACACCACAGAAAAAGTAGCTCTACAGGAGCAGGCAGTTGTGCTTGAGGATGATCATTCTGTGCTGTAAGAATTTTGGAAGGGAGGAACTACTCGGCCTTATATTATTATACGAGCAAGCATGTTTCCCCAAAGTCTACAGCATGGCTCACAGTGCCGTTTTAGATGTCACGTTCTATTCACAGGTGGCCATGAACAGAGAAACTACTGTGCAAAAGAATGATACATGGATAAACGCTGGTACTGCCTAAGGCTGGGGAAGTTGTTGCAAAATGCAAAATGTTCACCTGGGATTTTCTCCAAGCATATCATACTCACTGGACAACTGAGTGGAGAAAGTTCCCTTGCCAAAACTGATTTTACTGACCAGCCCTAAACATTAAAGCTGTTGGAAGCTCTTAAAAGCTAAAATCTCTGAGTAGAAATGTACTCAACATTTGATTTGTGAAATAAAGCACAAGGAAATACGTGTTGTACTACTCAAAGAAAATCCTTCCAAAGATATGAAATCAAAATAGGGTTGCAGATTTCCTTGTGGTTGCTGGAGATCTCCAGGCGACAGAGATTAATTCACCTGGAGAAAATGGCTGCCTTGGGAAGTGGACTCTATGGCATTATACACTGTTGAAGTCCCTCCTCTCCCCAAACCCCACCCACCTCAGGCTCCAAAATCTCCATGCATTTCTCAATCTGGAGCTGGCAACCCTAAATCAAAATCCATAGATAGGCAAATATATTAAAAGATAAATATGAAAAATATCCAAGGTGATACAGCACTTTTTAAAACTATGAAGCCTCATGTATTCCTGAAGTTTGGCATATTCATAGTCCCAAGAAGGGGTGGTGAACTGGAGACCCTCAGCCTGATCTGGCTGACTGAAGTCCATCGGTCCCCTCGCCCCATTGTTAACCTAGAGATAAAAGCAAAAACAGCTCTGACAACAAAGTGGAAAGTCACATTGTGGAAGGAGGGCTAACACACTGGCCCACACTGTGCTCTCAAGGAAAGTAAATTGCTAATCAGTGTTTTAGGTAGAGAATTCTAACCTATGCAGAGACCGAACACAGTGTCAAGGTGTTTAAGGATGTTTAAGGTCTACAAAATACCAAGGACTTCTTACCGGAATTCAGATTGGTAAGACAATGTAGAAAAACTGACTAGCCCCATTCTCTAGAGCTATGCATCGTTCTCAAATATCTAGTGTTTACAGCAACAATGTCTGTACATTAATGGGGGAAAAATCAGTTTGTTGTTTTTTAAATGTTCTATTATTATCTAAATTAAAATATCCTGGTTCTTTTCTAAGACTCAGGTGTGACATAAAGTGTTAGAAACTGCAGCAGTAT